CGTGATCAAGTAGAATCTTGAGCTCCCTTCTTCTAGTATCATCCACAACGCAAATCAGCTGCTGGCGCGTTGAAAATCGAGAAGCATCCGTTTTTTCAGACGGTGCATTTCGAGTCGATACGAAAGCGAGCAGTGAAGCCCCCCTACATTAAGGCTCATCTCCAATCTCCGTTGTCTGTTGAGTAGAGCAAGAATTCCTTCCGTCTTCGTCTTCCGCGATTCAGAATGCTATAAGGGCACTCTGCTAGTCACCACAGTGCTGCTATGGCATTCAGTTCTTGTCAGCCTGAAGAAGTGCGTCTTCTAACCCTCGGCCCCAACTCTCAAGCGCCGAGGATATTTGCATGTTCCCGAAGTATGCGGAAAGCGTGGAAGACAATCATCCGGACTTAAGTCGTAAAGACAAGCAGGCGTGGATACACGAACTGAGTATGCCTATCTCCGCGCCTTAGGAGCTGTGCATCCTTGACGTCCAGTATCATACGAATAGCGAATTGTTGTGGCTCACGTTGTCGTTGATGTTGTCCCGTGCGGTTTACTGACCGTTGCGTTTCAGTTTGTAGTTGCATTTTTTTGACAAGGTTGCATTTGCATCGTAAGAAGTACAGTTGTGCGATATTTTTAGAGTGAGTATGCAGACAGTGCAGTCATGGAAATCTGAGGCACGTTGCCCAGTAGATTCGAACCATCAGGAAAGTGAGCACGCAGTGGGTGAAGTCGTTTTGCCAAAAGTTTGATAGTCCACTTTTACCAAGTTTGATAGCCATACTAATGCTGCGCTGCCTTGTGGGTGTACCATTACCAAACAGTATGAACTGACATGATTGCGCACCTTTTTCGTGTTTTTTTGAAACGTTAGTGGGGGCATAAAAGTTGGGTTCTCCACTGCTCACGTTCCTGCCTCGAAGAGGCCCTTAGATTTGGAAGATCAGAGTGAAGGCGGATTTGATGAATCTGACAAGATGTCGCTGCTTTCGTAGCGTTTTCGTCCTCGTGATGTCCGTCCAGTTTTATTGTTGTTCTCACCCTTTTACGGAACATCAAGTGGAGTTCCTTGATGGAAGGCTCCGCTTTTCAGAAGACTTCAATGATTTCATTCGAGCAATG